GGAAATCTTGAGATGACTCTTGGATCTCAATTCTTGAGATTAGTAAAAACGGACCTCTCTTTCTCAAAGTCTCTATTGAGACTAAGTTTCTCTATCAGATTTCTTTGTGATCAAACTTTTAGTTTGGAATTGAGTTTCATTTTTGTTGTTTTTTTTTTTGATATATATATATATATTTATTTATTTATTTATTTTATTGATTTATTTAGTTATTTATTTTTTCAAAACTGGATGTCGTGCATGTGTGTTGAATGTGCTAGATAAAAAAGGGGTTGGTGAAGAAAGAAAAGAAAAGAAAAGAAAGTGGGTGTCATGATGTCGTGCATGTGTGTTGAATGTGCTAGATAAAAAAGGGGTTGGTGAAGAAAGAAAAGAAAAGAAAAGAAAGTGGGTGTCTGGATGTCGTGCATGTGTGTTGAATGTGCTAGATAAAAAAGGGGTTGGTGAAGAAAGAAAAGAAAAGAAAAGAAAGTGGGTGTCATGATGTCGTGCATGTGTGTTGAATGTGCTAGATAAAAAAGGGGTTGGTGAAGAAAGAAAAGAAAAGAAAAGAAAGTGGGTGTCATGATTTGAAAGACAGAAGATAGTGGAGGAAAATATTAAAAGAAAAAGAAAAGAGAAGAGAGGGTTGCAAGAGAGAGAAAACCAGCGAATTCAAAGGAGTGAGTATTGGGTTGTTTGGTCTGAGGAGGAGCGTGCTACATAAACAAAAGCAACGCAACAGCGGCTGGGTGCAACGCTGGGGTGCGGGATGGTCGCAAGTAGGGAGACGGACGTTGCAGGATCATCAACCACAGCGTCCCACCGGAGTTGATGGCGGAGATGAAGGCGGCGACGCAGTCTTTGATGGAGCTCCCGGTGGAGATCAAATGGCAGCGTTATACATACGCTTGGCGCAGTACAACCCAGAAAAAAAAACTTTAAACCCGAGGGTTTCCAAGTCAGGCTTCGCAGCCCGAATCGCATTCGCGAACTGAATCGTCCCGGCCAAAACGATCTGTTTGTGGATAAACGAATCGAAATTAAGCTGGACTGTTTCGATCAAGCGATTCACATTGATTTTGATATCGACGAAGACATAGAGGCAAGGGATCGAAGTGTTGTCAATGAGGACGAGGCAGCTGTGGCCGTAGTGAATGAGGAGGTCGGCGGAGAGTGCGGCGGCGGAGAGGTCGTTGACGCAACAAGCGCCGTAGGTGACGTCGCCGAGGATGAAGTAGGAGTCGACGGCGGCGAAGGAAGTTGCTGTTGTTGATAGTTCTGTATTAGGGTTTTGAGGTGGTGGTGGTGAGAGCTCTGCTTCTGCCTTGTTCTCCATTTTCAGTCGCAGTTGGGAGGGAGAGCGAGAGAGAGAGAGAAAAGGCATGTGTAGAGGTCCGGCGGGCGGCCAAGGCGAGACTGCCGCCCGCCGGTGAAGCAGAATGACTAAGCTGTTAACTTGGCTCTGATACCATGTAAAATTGAAGTATTATTGATTGATTGATATATTACAATTGATTGATGTATTGATGTCTTACAAGATTGATACATTACAATTCCTATACAATCTATATATAGAAGAAAATGTGGTAGTAGGTGTAGTGGAGGTGATAGTGGGTTAGGTGAAGTGGAGTGTGTGGTGAAGTGGAGGTAGGTGAAGTGGAGTGTGTAGTGGAGTAGGTGAAGGTAAATTCTAACAATTGATGATTCTGGTTTATTCAACAGCATTCAAAAACACAAACACAGTGTTGTTATCAATGGAATGGGTTTGATTTTGAAGCTCCAATCGAGTAAAACTCCTTAAACAACTACACAAACCCACTGAGAGAAGGAGAGAAGAGAAGGAGGACATCGCCGCCCCGCCCCTTCCCACCCCGAACGCGCTGCCGCCGTTGCCATACGGCTCCCCCGTCGCACCTCTCCTTCCTCCCTTTTCCTCTTCTTTTCTTTTCCTTCTAGATATATATATATATATATATATAAATCAAAACAAACAAATATATAAAACATAGAGATGATATATATAAACATATATAAATCAAAACAGCCAAGGTAGAGATTTGAAAACCCAGCCCTAGCAGATTGGGGATCCTTCTTCTCTCTCTCTTCTTGTCTCTTTCTCACTCTGTTTTTGTTTTGTTTTTTTTTTTTTCAAATTACTCACCAAAACGACGTCGTTTTGGTGAGTTGAATCTCAGCCCTTGGTCTGATGAGTGGGACACGTGTCGATTGCTTGTTTTGCACTGTAGGAGATCACTGTAGAAACATTACTCTAGAGGATCCTTACGCCTAATGAAGGGTATGTCACCGGTGAACACTTGAATGCTCGTAATTAGATGAGCCCATGACCACATTGGTATTCGTGACCTACTTATGGTAATTTATGGAAGTTGAGAAATAAAGAATGCCCTACAATTAAAAATGAGAGAAGTTAGGGATTATAAAAAAAAATTCATGAAAATGATCATAAAAGAGTTATGATCCTTGGATTACCTTAATTAGTGTGTGGTGCTTTATTCTAAGTGCAATTCAAGGGTCACAAAACTTTCATGAAATATTTTTCATGATACCTAGCATTGCTGATTAAAAATCTATCATACTTAATCAAGAGACATGAAAAGAACAAAAACAAAGGAACTACAAATCACACACACAAACAAGAACAAAAGATTTATTTACATGTTTCATCCCAAAATTTATGACCATGATGCTGTGATTTCCACTATAAAAAAATGATTAAAAAAATGTAAAGATAGCCACTTTCCCTCAACTATATATATATATATATATTTAAAAAAAGAAAAGAAAATAGAAGTCACAAGTGCAAAAATATTTAAAAAAATTCTTACTTCTAGTTGAGTGGTTAGTATTTATCATAATCCACACTACTCAACACTTACCTAGTTTGTTATAGTTCTTTATTTGTCGAGAGCACTTAATGATACATGATATTCTAAAATTACTTAATAATTTTTCATTTATATACACTAATAACAATTTTTTATTTTATTTTATTTAAATTATCAGAGTTCACTTATGAGGAGCTGAGAGTAGCAACAAATAATTTCTCCCCAGAGAATTTGGTATCAAAAGGAGAATATGATTGCAAGAGAGTGTACAAAGGAGAGTTACCAAATGGAATGGAGGTAATAATTAAAGAACATAGCTTCTACGCGGACATGGTGAGAAGAGATACCTCGAAAAGCACAAACCTAAAAGACTTCAAGTCCGAGGTCCAAGCTCTTGGGAAACTCCGACACGACAACATAGTCATGCTGTTGGGATCGTGCTCACAACTGGGTCTTAGGTTGCTTGTTTATCAATATGTCTGCGCCGACTCTTCTCTCGACCAGATCCTCTCAAGTAAGTTTTTTTTTTTTTTTTTTTGGGGGGTCTTTAATGATTATTTTTTAAAAATTATATCAATTTTTTTAATTTTTTCAATCCATCTCGTATAGATGAATTTAAAAAATATTTTTAAAAAATAAAATTCTAAAAAGAATAATAAAAAAGTTAAAATAAGTCAAAAAATATTATTTTTGTCTTTTCTTGAACTTTTTAAAATGTTTTGATTCGTCTCGAAACACCCACTTTTATCTATAAAATAAATTACACTTCTTACTCCTATAATTTAACTTAAATTTCACTTTGATTTTTTCTTATTCATTATAATAAATTAAAGTTTTAGAGTTAAAAAATTAAGGACAATATTTTTGTGACAAAAAACAACTCAGATAAACTATACCAAATATTTAAGTCGATCTGATGAAAAAATTGTATAAACTATAAGCTACTCAGATAAGTTGTACATTATCTATTAAAAAATTAAGTCTATCTAATATTCATAAGTTCATAACATTTTTATTTTATCATATTTGTCTCAAAAAAATAAATAATAAATATATTGTTGAAAGTAGACCATCCGATAATCCAATTCTCTCAAATTCATATTAAAATATCAAAGACTTTTATATAAGAGAGATTATATTCGGGAGATCAACAATATATTTAGCCCTAAAAATTGAAATTAATTATTATAAACTTTTGTAGAGAAACGTGAAGAACTGCCATGGGAAGCAAGATTGAAAGTTGCAGCTGGGGCAGCTAGAGGATTACAGTATCTGCACAGACACAACTTCTATGGAAATGTCAGATCTTACAACATCTTCATAACCCATGACCACCACCCACTGGTAATAGCCTCATATTTCAAAAATTCACTACATTTTTGTATTTAATAAAAAAAATTAAAAATATTTTACATTAAAAGAATTTAGAAAAAAAAATTAAAATTATCACCCTTATAACAAAATAAAATTTTAATTTTATCAATTGGAATATTAATTTTTTTTATTTATTTTCAATCTAAACTATTGGTCTATTTTCGTTAATTAAATCTAATAAAAAAAATATATTTTCATCATTAAACTCAATAAAAATGGGTATTTTAGATATTTTATGTATACCATTGAGTTTAATAACTAAAATATATATATTTTTGATAGATTTAAAAACAAAAAAAATTAATTTAGATTGAAAATAAATCAAAAGATTATGATTTAAATTAATAAAATTAAAAACACAGTATTTATTTTATTATAAAATATAAGAAAAATTACACATCAGTGGACATTAGAAAAACTATTTATAAAAAAATGATAAACATTACAATATTAATAATTAAAATTATAATTTTTTTTAACATTTTCGTAAATATTTTTTTCAGATCTCCATTGATATGTAATTCTTCTTAAAATATAATGGTCAAACTCTAATATGCTTTTTTAGTTTTTTCAAAAAAAATTTAAAAAATTGATTAAGGTATAATTTTTTTTATGAAATTAACAAAATAAAAAATTTAAAAACTGCATTTGAGATATCAAAACCAATTTAATAGTTTTGAGTGTTATTTTTCAACATCTATATATGACATTGACTATATATATATACATATATGTATATTATGTATAGTTGGGAAATTTTGGAGTGACAAGAAACCAATACGAGGAGGAATCAACATCAGAACAGGGATCAGGGAAGAGGGCGATGACAACTTTCGAATATCTAGCCCCTGAATTTGAAGAAATTGGCAAAGATACCTCCAAAAGTGACATTTATGCTTTTGGGGTTGTTCTCCTACAACTCATCACTGGTCGGAGGACTACTCAAGATACACGTGGCCTTAGTTTCATGAGATGGGTATGTATCAACTTTTTTTTTTTTTTTTTTTAATTTTTTTTATACCTTGATAATCTATGACTTTTTTATGTTTTGTCCCTTTAAACTTTAAAATTCAATAATTAACTATTTCAAAATATTATCTTATTATAATTAATTCCTTCTGTTAGGATTTTATATAAAATTAGCTAGTATATAAAATATATGACACATTCATTGAATTTTAAAATAATAATGCTCTTATCTATAGTAATCTCATTTGCACGTTGACACTAAAATAAGAGAGATAAAGTGCAAATGTGATTACTTGTCTTAAAAAAATCAATAACCTATATTATTATTCTAAAAAGCAATAAGTGTGTCATGTGCTTCACATATAATTTGATTCCGTTTATATTTCAAGACAAAATAATAGTTTCATGTGGTTAACTATTGAGTTATAAAGTTTAGAACGAGACAAAATACAAATAAGTCATAATTTAAAAAGATTTACTATAATTTATCTTTCTTTTTTTTTTGGTATTAGGATATGTATCAACTTTTATCCCCACACCACATCCCTCTTCTATATATATATATATATATTAGGAGTTTGTACTTACTTTAAGTTGTTAAATTTATAAAATATTAATTTTGATTTGAATAGAAACCAAGTCAGTTATAGGAATCAATTACATGAGGATATTTTGGATAATTTAGAAATACAAAATTCTATTTGATATTAAGGAAAAAAAAGACCTCAAGACACCATCTCTTTATATATCGTATAAATATAAATATATTAGGAAAAACTACACTATTGGGAGGTTGGGAAAGTATATATCAAAAGATGATAATTTTTTTAGGGTGTAATTTTGGCTCTTTTTTTTTTTTTTGGTTGAAAAACTTATATATTTTAAAGGCAATTACAAGTAATTACAAATCAGGGTAGTTGACTAAAAATATATCAATCAGCTCTATTAACTAAATTTATTTACCTACAGGTCCTGACTAATAAATTTATTACTGTAAATTTATTTATAAAAATAAGAGAAATTGATAAATTTATCAATAAGATTTAATAGATAATAAATCTTATAAGTAGGTTCCATTGATAAGTTACCCAAGTATTAGATGGGGTGCAATTCTTTCCCGTGTAAGTTGCGCTCCATAAAAATTCTCACTTTCTGTAACTGTTAGTCATACTTATTGGTAGTTTTACCTGTATTTTACAAAAATATGTGCAAGTTTTTTCTGTGTAGAAAATCACAATAAAAGTTACATCCCACAAAATTTTTTACTTTTTATAAATATTTACTCCACTACCTACTTATTCGCCGTATAAATTCTTAAATTTACAATGAACTGATACACATTTAAAACCAATCGATTCATATTTGATTTTCATTTTCAACTAACATAAAAAAAAAAATCAAATCGATTTTATCTTACAATTTGTTTGTTATATAGGGAAGACCACTTGTGGAAGAAAAGAAGTATCCAGAATTAATTGATCCAATGTTGATAGAGTCACATAACCTTCATCAATTCTATTGGATGGTCCATGTGGTGGACAAATGTATCAAATGGGAACCTCGTACAAGACCCTCAATTGACAAGGTATCAATCAATAAGTCCTAAAACACTAAAACTAACTGTGTACAAGTGCAAGTTTTGTTGGGTGCAAGTGATATTTGTACTTAGTACAAGTGTAGTGTATACACAAGTGCAAGTTTTAGATGTGCCCAATACAAGTATAAATTGTGTAGGATTATGAACACTTGTCACTTGCATCATACATATGCTGCACTTGCACTGAGCACAACTTATATATATGTAGTTCTTTCACTACAGAATTCATAACCACATGTTATTCAATTGATCTTGGATGATATATATTGCCACAGATTGTGACCACTCTTTCATGCATAGCTCAAGGTTGCAACATTGACTTCTCTTCACCTGATTCTCAAGGCAGTGAAAATAATCATCAATATGTCTGATTATGAAAGAGCCATCAATCTCCGACATTAATTAAATGATTAAAGTTTCTCTCAATCTCTCTCTCAGTATAACGGTAATATCACGTCATTAGTAATATGTAATATCCTCAACCAATAATAAAACTATATAACAATAGATTCTACTGTTCAAATGAAATTGAGTGTTCTAAAATAATTTGTAATCATGACATATACAATGTGAGATATATTAATTTGTTATTGGATAGTGATACTACTTATCGGTGATCACGTGATATCATCACTGTATTAATTTTTTTTTCCTTCTCTCATGATACACTACCATGAGATAATGTTCATGTAAGTTGGATTCTAAAAATATCAATTGGCATTGAGGCTGTAAATAGCTTTAAAACTCAATAGAGGACTTCTCAAATTGGAAGCAAAAGTATTTTGAAATGCCTCATCGAATTGATGTACCTGTGTTTATGTATTATTATCAAGTAATTACTGATTCTTCATTTTCAGCATCAAGGTTTTTTGAATGGATGTAAATGTTCACTGGGAGACAAATTTAAAGACAATTTCATGATTCGGGGATAATTTTTACAATAGTCTTTTTTATAATTTTTTTTAAACAATAATTAAAGGGTAATTCTTCTATTTGTCTAGAAAATGAATTGGGTAAATTATACTAATAGCCCCTACATTTGTTTTGTGTCATTTTGGTATGTATATACTTTTAATTAGCTTAATTTTGATCTTTAATGTTATATTTTGTATCAATTTAGTCCAATTGATAACATTATTAGTTTTTTTTATTATCATTGAATTAGTTGAGATTAACTCATTGAGTTGAACAAATTTATAATTTTGCCTCTAAAAATATGCCACATGTCATTAATATGCATGTTTTATTAAAAAAATGTTAGCAATTGTAATCAATTAGACAAACTGAATCAAAATCATAAATTCTATTAAAATTGAATCTATTAAAATTATAAAAATTAAAATGACAACAAATCAAAATACAGAAACTACCAACTTAATTTATCCAAATAAATTTTTGGACCAATTTTATCACTAATTGCAAAAAATGTTGACTTTCTCTCCTATTTAATATGTCAATTCAAAGAGGGTCATCCTTATCTAATTTTAGCAATTTTAAATTTATTTCTTTTATATGTAACTGTCATTCATATATTTTTATTTGATTGATTTTATTTATGAATCATTTGAAATCGACCTTCTGTTAGGAGGGAATAATAAAAATAATTTGGGTTATTGTACGGTAAAATTAAATAGCGACTCTAAGCATATTGGATCCAAGTGAGCGATCAGATTATTTGTCTTATTAATTCTTTTAGCCTATGTTATTTTTATTGGCTATTTTATCCAAAAGTCATTTTCCCAAACACTCCCATAGTAAATCGGCTAAACTATCAATAGATTCTAATAGTTAAATTTATTTTCATCAAGTCCTATTAAAAATAAATCTTAATAAAATCATTATTAAAAATAATTTTTTATGATAATTTTTCACGTGTCGTTAAAAATTGATAATTAGTAACTTTTTTTGTCACAATTTTATAAATTATAGTTAAAATTTACAATTAGTAATGCTTTTCTGTGACAAAATATTCAAACTAAAGTTAAAACTTAATGACCTTTTTTTGTCAATTTTTTTTTTAACTATCGCTAAAACTTATAATTAACGACTTTTTTTGATAATTTTTAAACTATCCTTAAAAATTAATAATTAGTAATATTTTTTAATAGTGTTAGATAAAAAAATATCATTAATTATTATAAAACCTATCAGTCAATAAGTTCAAATATTAAGACAAACACGTAAATCTCCCCCAATGGATCCATCATGGGCTCGGATAAAGACTTTCTGGATGTTGGTCATTGGTTCAATTCAAGTTCGCTTTCTAAATCAGTTGAAAAGGGTTTGAAGAGAGCAAACCTGCAAAAACTATGGCCTTGTTTGGTTTGTGTTTCGGAAAAAATTTTCGTACTTTTTATCTCAAAACATGTTTCTCAAATACAAACCAAACAATGCCTATATCCTCAAGCCTACACATCAAGCGAAATTTGACACGCTTACATCTCCTAATTACCCCTATCAACTCCTTTCTGGATTCGATCTTGCTAGCCATTGAATGGGTGATTTTAAGTGTTGGCTAGAGTTGAGATAAATTGATGGTGGTCGTCGTGGTGGAGGAGATGGAGGAGTGGAATTTACAAATTGTAGGTCTCAAGAGTTCAGGGTTTCGGCTATTTCAGAGTCGAGGGCAGATGTAAGCGACGGGGGAAGCAAGGCAACTTCATATTCAATTAAGCTTAGAGACCGGCATTAAGGGAGGTAAAAGGAAAGAAAACCTATCAAGGACATTTACAACTTAGGCCAAATCTTTTTTGAAAAAGTACAAAAAAAAAAACAAGCAGTAGTACATGTTTAGAGAATGATACGCCAAACCATTCTGCGATTATTACAGCTATAATTTATATTCTCAATATGAAGATATACGGATAGAATCAGTTCCTGGCATCCGGAGATTGTTTGATTCTATTTGCAAATCGAAAGAAGTAAAAGAATGTGGAGACAGTATGACATTCATGTTCACACCAGCACCGTCAACTGCGCTTTTGACAGGACTTACCTGCATAGAATGAGAACCATAAATTTCTAAAGATTAGAACCATTGATCCATAATATATAAATTTCTCAATATCTGCGTGTTTTTTAGTAACATGAACTTCAAACAGTATAAATATGTAATTTATTTATATGACTTGTGTGTCACCATGGAAGAACTCAAGAAAGAAGATGGAATAATTATTGGAGACAAGTTTAATGAGAGTAATCTTATTAGAAAATAAAACATATGGATAAACAAATGCTAATGAACATTTAAGGAACAAATGGCAACTACTTGATGAATTAGCACAATACCAAAAATAAATTTAAAATAAGTATCAAAATTAGTTAATTGCTTGAATGGTTTGCCGGGAGGATACTAGAAGTAACAGTTTTTCATTACCTTCACAAGATTATCCAAGAGTACATGGAAATTTCAAATAACAATGGGTGTGCATGGGTCCAGCTAAACCAAGTAATCTGACCAGACCAACTGACCTGTGAAGCTTACAGACGGTTTCGATCATAATTACAGTCGGCTATGGATTTGAAATGTCAACCCGTGCAATTTGCGGTTCGAATAACGGATTACATATTGTTGAAACCAATCAAAACTGGCCAACCGAATTATGCTTATCAATAACCTTATCCCTCCACATGGCATCATATAATTAATTCCTTAGATTACACTTATTCATCACTCAACATACTGACCAAATCATTAAAGACTTTTCAATTTTCATCTTCTTCCATTTTTTCCTTAAACCTTTTTTTCTCTGCAACTTCACCTCACCATTTTTCCTTCACCGTTTTCTTCCCCCCTCCCCCCACATCAACTAACGACTCAATGTTTTTGCAAAGTCATCACCATTGGGACTCATTGCCGAACTCGTCATCACCGGAACTCATTGCCGATCTCGGAGGATCATGGCTGAACTCGTCTCTCTCAGATCTGTATTTTTTCTAGTGAGACATTGGATTTTTTTGTTTTTTATAAACATCCCTCACAGATCTACGTTTATACATATATGTATATATCTCATTTCTTGCTTCAAATATATTTATATTTTTTTTTATATCTCCGAATTTCTTGTTTCAGATGTGTTTGTAGATATGAATTTTTCTCAATTTTTCTTCCACTTCTACTTTTGCGGTTCTACATTCACCTGCCCGACACCGACCACCAAACCTAAGGCTTGACTCGGTCGATTTTGAAGGGGAGATCGGTCGATAGCGGATAAGAAGACTCTCAACCCGAAATGTTCGGTTCGGATGATGGGTGAAGGGTAAACCCAACCCAACGCGACCCGTGCACACCCAGCAGATGAACGAAGTGGATTAGTACTCTTAAGTTCTTTTATGGCATTATCATTAACGAGGTTGACAGAAATTAAAATTTGAAGGAGCAAAATGAGATTTTGGTAAAAGTGCAACAAATAAAGTGAGATTTTTTTTATGAAAGTGTAGGGGTTCTAACGAGTCGAATAAAATATTATGTATGGCTTACATGATAATTTTTGTAAGCCTTATTAACGTTAGATGGACGGGAGGGTGACATTCCAACTTAAAGCGTAAAAGGTTGACTGTCACAATTGAAAATGGAGGGGCTAAAGTGAGATTGTGATGAAAGTGCAAGAGTGCCAAGTGTAATTAACCCAAACAAGTAAGGGTGTGATGATTATGAGATTTTTGCTCATAAAAGGAAAATCTTATTCATGTCATGTAGCAAACCACCAGAAGGTAGGATAAGACTTGGCTGACTCGAGTTAATTGCCACTATCATATTTTATCCCCACATCAGTGAAGTCAACAAAATCTTATGTTTACTATCAGAAGAACAATTATCTTAGATGCACTATCGACTCAATGTTTTGGCTAGATAAAGAAAACAAAAAGACAAATCGGTGCTTAATCACTGCATTAATGAAAGGGCTTTGGCTAGATAAAGAAAACAATAAGACAAATCGGTGCTTAATCACTGCATTAATGAAAGGGCTTCTATGCACTCGTATCTTTTATATTCTATACCTAGCCATTTTCCTGAAATGAAGAATCGGGACAAGGGATTCAAGCCAAATGTGAACAACACGCGTGAAATATAAATTACTTGCTTTCCTATTTTTGTATGATGATTTAAGATGGCGTAGATACCTTTTTTGGATCTTTGAAGGAATTCTCATCCATCAGATTGCTAGATGCAAGTACAGTCTTTGTTGATCCAAATGATAGGAATGAGTTTGGCGCCAATCCATCAGTTGAAATTGTTAAATTCACAGCATTGATCCCAAAGTTCACTACCTGGAAATAAAGAAAAAAAAAAATAGCCCAAATAAATACTGAGACATGTAAATGAGATATTAAAGCAAATGTGTTCACTTTGATTATTAATAAATAGAAGGCAGGCTGTTTCTCATGTCCACGGGGGGGTGGGGGTTGTGGTGCTGATGATGCACCTAGTGATTTCAGATCGACTGATTAAACTCCAAAAAAGCTGATGATGCACCTAATGATTTCAGATCGACTGATTAAACTCCAAATAATAATTCTTGACTATCTTCTTTCATTCATTTAAAGAAAAACAAACATAAGAAGAAAAAGAAGAAGCTAAACGCACAAGACTCATGACAGATGGTTAACCATATGAGATTAGCTAATCATGGTAATCCATCAATGTGAATGAAACTTGAATGCTCCTGTTCTTTTGCACTTCATATTGCCTTCTACACCAACCATCTATTGGAAAAATAATTTGATAAAGTAAACGAGTTGGTTGGGTTCATTTGTCCAACCCGTAGGGCTGTATCCAATTCAACCCAACCCATTTATTAGATGGGTGGGTTTGGGTTGGGTTGTTTTAAATATATAACCTGTTTTGACCCTCCCAAACCAAACCCATTTTCCACCTCTAGAGATTACTAATTATAACACCAAAGTTGAATTGGTGGGTAGAGTATGCTTTTAACAAGCAGTACAAAACATAAGAATATTCTGGGGTTTGATATGAGAAAATTAAAACCTTTATTCTTAAATAATTCTTATCATCCTCTGACCAAGCAATAGCAGAAGCAACTAGCGAGCTTGAAGAATTGGCCTTTAGTGTTGAATTAAGCAGAGTAGCACCACTTGATTCTATGAAAAAGTGTTGCATCCAATAACTAGGAGTTCCATACTGCTGGAAGGAGTTAAAAACAATTGCATCCGGGATCCACCTTTAAGAAAGCAACACTAACATATGAGGATAATTATTACAAAACAACACCATGAGATAACATAACAGTGAAAAGGTTTTAGAGAAAAAGAATGACAACATACCTTCTGTCATTGGTATTCACAAATAGGGGTGCATAGCTTGCCATTTCAACAATATCGCTGCATTTGAAGGATCAAATTCAAATCCTCAGAAATCAAAGCAATATATCATGAAATTGAGACAAAAAAATGAGAGAAGCTATGATGACTAAATATATGTGTATACACAAATACATGTGTATGCGTGTGTGTGCGCGCATGTCATTTAAAAAAAATGAAAAAAAAATATAACAACTAGGTTCCACTTCATTTTCCAAACCAGTGAAGCAATTTACTTGACCATGAAAAGGAAAGAATAAGCACAAGTCATCACACTTCAAGATACTCTGGAATCTGGATGAATTATCTTCGTGGACTAAAAGGTCTGAGGCAAAGATTTAACGAAGTTACTAAACTCGTGCACATATTACTATTGAACCTTGACTACTTTAAAAAGGAAAGAAAGGCTTTGAAGCTGACTTCAAGATATTTTCTTAAAAAGGATGCTTGCCTCCCACTAGCATGAGCATCTATTAGAGAAGCTATTTTGGTCATTACTGATTAGGACCACAAAATTGATCGGATACCATTCCTGAATCCTGAATATTTAAAGTCATTTTTACATATAGGGAAGTAAGACTGATGGCATGTGTAATGCACACCCACAACCAATATTGTCAACACAACTAAATGCCAAGGGGCATAAATCAGCTTAACATCTCCTATAAAAGTGGCAATGACACGTTGACAATCACACATAAATAATTAAAAAAATTAAGGTTTCCTTTTTGACAACATAGCTAAGACTTTGTTAAACCTGTCATCTCTATTGTTGTACGAGTATATGAAACATGTTAGGAAGGAACATATACATGATATTTTCAACCAAAACAAAAAATATCTTATAAATGCACAGTTTAAGCCCAAAGGATGCACATCGACAAATAGTGAAGAAGCCAAAGTCTTGGAAGAGTACAATTTACCTGTTCCTTTCTACTCCAATAAGGAAACCAGCCTCAGCCAGTGCCGCTAAAAGGCTTCCTGTACCAGCATCTTTTCCAGTCACAGCATACTCACTTACAAAAGCCTGAAAATCAATTAATGGCAAGACTATTCACAAGCATTCCCCAAAGCCTTCTTTTTTTCTTTTTTCAAATATATTTTCAGAACCAGTTTCATTAACAAATAAAAGGAAGATTAACATACCTTCGGACCACTACGAGATGTATGATCAAATTTATGAGCCAAAGAAAACACACTGTTTGAATCACTGTAAATCTAACCAACAAATAAAAAATAAGACAAGAATTCTTGCCATGTAGCCAAACTGACGGACCAATGATTAACATTGGAATATAAACAATTTATATGCAAAAAAAAAAAATGAAAGATGAAATATTATTGACATATGTGCCAAAGTTCAAATCTCACATGATAATCATAAAAATCAGCAGGGTGATCCAATTGTCGATTAGACCCATCACAGTTTGATATTATTTTGATGTCTGGATAAGCAAGTTTTATAGCATAATAAAACTTGAGGTAATTTCCTGGCACATACACAAACAGAAGCATGTTAATACATCAAGAAAAATCCATCTTTCATAATTTTCACAATATTTCACATTTGATTTTTTAAGGTGTGATTTGATTAGAAGGAATAATAGTTTTCACCACTACAGTACTGTATGCACCATGCTATTGAAATAGCAATAATAAGACCCACTACCCATAAACTAGTTATTAAATAACCGATAAAGCAATTCCATGAAAAGCAGGGTGGTTATTGGCACTAAAAGGGTCATAATAGAGATTGGTAGATCTCAAGCAAAAAAATTGAAGCAATATATTTTAATAGCGAATTAAAGTGATGATTAATACAACTTCTATTGGCAAGATGAGAATTACAAATCAGAACGATAGGTATTGCAAAAGAAAAATTAAAGGAAGGCAGAATGATGTTTCAGACTAACTTGGTCATTTGAAAATTTTTGAGAGAGACAACAATATTATTCCAAGTGCACAAAATATGAAGATCTCAGAAATTCCCTAGGATGAAACTTTATAAATTCTACCTAAATTTAGAGAACAAAACAGATCATACAAGGCAGATCAGTTGTGTCTTATAATATCTTCAAGCACTAACTTATCAAAAAAAAAAAAAAAATAATGTTTTCAAACACTACCACACATCTCTTTTCACTCTCCAAAATTTTCTCAACATCAACCATGAATGTGATTTTCAAATTTTAGCACAAGATTAAATAAATGGAGATTTTGCTGCAATTATAATGATTAGTTGAGACTTGATCAACACCACAAGAAATTAATTTTGTAGGATCCATCTTTAATGCAATCCAAATCGCACTGACCCTTGCTCAACCATGTTGTCTCAACTTCACTTTTGTTCAATTTGTTTGACATTCAATTTTTTTTCTCCATCAGATGTGCAAATCTAGCCATTACTCTATGCAATTTCCATCTTGATTTTAAAACCAAAGTAGAGTAGAGTCAATCTAAAAGCAAAACATGTAATTCTGAAAAATGATAAATCCTCAAATAATGGGAACAAGATTTAAACCAAAAAAGTGAATTGTCTACACACGATTTATAACAATAAAACATTTTTCAAAAAATTTAATAGAACTTAAAACCAACCAAAAAAAAAAAAAAATTGAAAGCAGTTCATAGGTTAAACAAGACATGCATGAAACTCTTGACCCCCCAATTTTGTAATGAAATTGCGTACACACAAAAATGATCAAGGGTGCAAGTAACCTAGACATTTTTACTCATACAAATAAATGAAGCAGAAAAAAAGAAAGCAGCATGGAAACATGGTAATTTTCTTGTTTAACTCCAATGATAAGTAATCCCCCTTCCCCTTCAATTCCCTCACTTCCATCCCTACCCAAAGACCAGCACTAGAATCCCATGATTGGCTGGATCACAAAAGGGGAGAGGAGCTCAATCATCTTCATATATCAACTGTAGACTTTGTGCAGTAATTTCTTAAAGGATATCAGCTTTAAATTGGAAAAGTCGTCTATGCATTATGCTATATATGTTTTGTAAATACATGGGTCATTGATATCATTTGATTTGACAATAAAATATGTTACCAGACAATAATGACTAAAAAAAAATGCATACCACGGTAATTCTTCTTCCCACAGTCTTCATTCCCAGAAGCAACATATTTCAAGTCAAAAGGTTCCGAGTGTCCCATTGCAGCTCGAACAGAACCCCATGTTGAGTCAGAATCACCCCTAGCAAACTCAATACTATCGAGGACTTCCTACAATCAAGACAAACAAAATTTAAGAATGAAATATATTACAACAGAGATTGCAATAATATTACACCCAGTGAACGGGGCTTACTTTTGGAAGACACAAACAACACAAAAGCTTTAACAATATGATACCTTATAGTAACACTGGATACTTAACATGATACTAATAGATTCTTAACATGTATAGGTTTCATAACTATAGCAAGAGTGTTTGTCATATTCCTCCACCAAAAGTCTAACTAAAAGAATTCATGAATCTAAAGATCAAAACAGAACATTCATGTTAAGAGATGAGTTAATACAAATGCATAATTGATCATTAATAGATGACCGGTCACAGCCATATCAAGCCAAATTCATAAAAGCTTATCAAAGTCAAATGGTTTCGACAATGGATTAGTATATCAGCATTTAACCAACCATTTTCAACAACACCAAGGTATGAATGAATTAAGCTAACCTATAACAACATCATTTTCATCTAATAACAAGTAACCTTGTGTTTTGACTCTACTTTTACAAGTCACAAGTTTTTTCTTTTCTTTATTTCACTTGGGTATATTAATCCTAGCCTTAATTAGAAGCTCTATTATCATAATCTTACGATTCGCGATTCGATTCGCATTTTTTGCAAAAATGATACAAATCTATTGGTGAATCTATTTTGGAAATGAATCTCTAATGAATCGCACGATTCACAATTCGATTCAGTAAGACGCAACATGCTTTTAATCTTTATTCTTATTTTTTTTCTTTAAATAATCATAATATATCTTATTTAGAAAAAGTATGTATACTTATTGTCCAAATATTAATATCGTTGTCAAATTATTATTATTTTGAAAATTGAGAATTTGTCTTTGTTTACTGTCTTTATTAAGAATGGTTGGTAAGAAATATCTAAAAACGGGAAAAAGTTACATGGCGATTCTACATAGGAACATTTGTTAACTTCTTCCTATTAAACTACATGATCATCATTCAAAACAACATTTTCATTGACTTCAGTCTAAATATTTTATATTCATAAGATATATTTAACAACTAAGTGTTTAGATATATTTTTCCAAGTAATTTAGAAAAAGTAACCGAATCTTTACAATTCACGATTTGATTTGATTTGATTTGCGATTCGGTACAAGGCTATTTCGATTCACGATTCGAATCCTGATTTGACAACTATGATTAGAAGCATGATTAGCATCAACTACTATTAACATTCATGGCATATGAAAATTAGAAAGAATAATTTCGGAATATTTTCTATAACTACAATATCTGATTAGTTCAGCAGTTCTGTACATAGGAAGCAGAAAATTGCCAGACATACTTGCAGAAAAGGTGAAATGCTAGAAGTATCCACTTGATCATTATGGCTTATTCCTGTGGAAAATTGAACACCACACAAAAAAATAAATAAATCAAATAACAATAAATATATTCATTGACAAAAGAAAAACTTAAAAGAAAAAATCAGAAAAATAGAAGTATTTGGGGAGTACCATTATTGAATACCCATACCGGTGCTGCACCAAGGTCTTCTGCAAGCTGCAGAAGCAAAATGGTAACACGAGACAAACAACTTAAGAACCAATGCAAGCAAAATGGTAACACAAGACAAATGCTTGAAATACAAATGAAAAAAATATATTTTTAAAAAAAATTGAAAAAAAAAGCATCAGAAATTGCCTGAAGAAATTCAAAGTAACCAAGTCCATCATCAGTCCAGTAATTCCAAACATCACCAAAATGTCCAGGTCTCTCTTCCCAGGGCCCAATAGTTTCTTTCCAGCGGAATGCATTTCGCAACCATTCACCTTCAACGAAACACCCACCTATGCAATATATATGGAATCATATTTTCTGCATTAGTCAGTCTTGGAATTATAAGGTCCCAATAAAATATAGTGCCAATGCACATGGATAAATTCAAAAGATTTAAGATAGAAACAGCAGAAAAGTAATTGAGGCTAACTACTGTAGCATTACTTTCTTAACAGACAACATCAAGAGTTCAGCATCTGACTTTTTAAAAAGTTTTAGACAACACTATCACGAGTACCTGGAAATCTGATAAATCGGGGTTTCAAATCTGCTAGCATTCCAAAAAGTTCATTTCGGAAACCATGTCCCTGTGCCAAGATAAAATGTTGTCAAAGGGCTACTTAAACTTGAGGAGAAAAATGTGCTCGAACTATAGATAAAAGATTACACTCTGTACTATGTAAAGATCACACTTTGACAAGGGCACAACTAAATTCCTATTGCTACCGCAAAACAACTCAATTCTGTAACTAGACAGAGTTATAACTAGGATTATATTTTAGAGTCTTTCAAAAATCCAATCCTGACCAACAGCCAACCCACAAATTACCCAACAATTTTTTTTACCAAAAAAGGAAAAAACCCAGTCCACCATATCTCAATCGCTACAGCTGTACCATGTAACAAAGTCTGCAAACCCGAGACGTATCCTTATGCCACACGAAATCTAAAGCCAGCCATTCTACCTCGCACACAACTCCAAGCCATTAGCCGGAGGGAAATGATGGGGAACAATAAGGATAAGAATAAAGCCTTATTTATCCAGGAGTACTATTTATTATGGAAGTTGGGTTTGTTTAGGATTAGTTTGGTTTAACTATATAAATGGCTTTTATGTGATGGATTTATCAGACTACATATGATATGAATATTGATTATTGAATCATTGATATTGAGATATTTGACTTTGCATTAGTTTATAAATCATTCCTTCCTCATTCATCTTCATCTGACCCATTCTACATCACTAAATGTATTCAAACAAAGACACTAACATCCACACAACTAAGACCCTTTTTATGGAATAAGTATATCAAAGATCACAAACCTTGTATGTGTCCAAGGGCATTGCTGACACCTGGTCGAACCATATGACTCCTTTTTTGCTTGTTGTCAATTGTAGTCTAGAGTTATGATTGGTATCACTCGCTACCAGAAGAACCTCAGCCCTTGTCCAATTTGAAACATCAGCAGCTCTGCAAGGACAATGTATGAACTCTAAATATCCATAAAGATTACTATGACATAAAATTTACTGAAGTTTATTAATGCCCAAATGAAGCTCACATAATGTTATCAGTAGCCAGCGTTTGGAACCCATTGGAGCCAGTCAATGCTACAGATATATTAACCGACTGTAATGAACGTATATACAGAACTACTTTATAGGTCTTCCCTTGTTCAATATTCTGAAAAAGAGCAAAATCAGAGGGTCCAAATTGCAACAAATTAGTGAGATATTAGTCGAGATAAATTGCAAAACTCTAAAAATAAAAAAATAGAAAAAAAGAACATGCTAGAGCGGATAATGTAAACTGAAAACTCATGCAATATGCTAATTCTTAACAACTATTAAGTATAGCATGAAATTGACTTCAATAAACCGATGACAATTGATTCGACAACTGTCTATAATAGGACAACAGGCTTCTTTAGGATGAGCTGCTAGGTTGTGAATTGGAGGATTTTGCAGGAATGGTGTAAAGGGGGCTATAATTCACAAATGCATGTACTTTCTGTATAAGACAATAAACTGGGGGCCAATAAGTCCCATTTTTGGCGACACAAAATCAAGATAAATGAAAGAAAACCTATCAAGATATAATTTTTGAGGGACAACAGGGCAATGAACATATGAGATACAAAGACCAATATGAATAGGATAGTGTTTTGGCCCTGCATGGGTCAATTCTCTTATCAAACATGCTTCTGAAAGTAAAACTAAAACTTGTGCATTTTCTCATGGTTGGCAAGAAAAATAGGTTAAACTAATCACATTCTAGGCTCTAATTTGAGAAATCCATATAAAACTTGTAAGCTCTAAAAGCTCGCCCCAATCAGAATGGCTTCTGGCATAAGCAGTAAACGCATGCCCATTCCAATTTCACATATCACATGAATCCATAGAGTGCATTTATTCAAAAATTATTTATGCATGGGAAAAATGAGTCAATTCTGCAGACAACATAATAAATCAAAAAAGGATTAGGAGACAAACTGAACTTTCATGTACATGTCAGATGAAAATAATAATTTATTTTTATCTTACCATTGGCATGAGATGGAAGATGAAGCTCAACATGCATAATGTCAAGCATACTACTGTAACTGCTGATTTACTTCCTAACTATTTTTGTTTTGCTTTTTAAATATTTCAAGTGTCTATTACATGCCAGACCAATGTCATCCATCGAAAAGATGTCAATCTTAAGAAAGTTCAGTAATTGTTGAGGAAGTGGCATCCCAGCCGTTGGATATGGAAATTCTTAATGACTGTGTCCATGCTATATAGAGAAAGGGGGCAAGATCCATGGTGGCAGTATTGCAAAATAGGTGGCAACTTCTTACCATGCCCCAGAATCCAGGATTAAAAATACCAACTCCTCCAGTTGGACAGACTTTGGTGCCTTCGCTGTCACAAAACACCTCCATCCGAAGTGCAACTTTGTTTCGATCAAAGCATGATGAACGGTCAGTTGATACAATAAGAGAGGAATCATCTCCAATGACAGACCAAGGGTCGATATTGGAGGGAGTGGTAAGGCCCCCAGATTCAAAACCTGAAACCCAGTTTTCATGAAAATCCATAATGTCTATATATCCACGTGACTATAAAATGAGACAAGCATATTTCCAACTAAAGAAAGTATATAAAGCCCCCTCTTAAGCACAACAAAAAAATGTAACAATAGACACTGTAATTTTAAAGGACCTCCCCATTTACAAAGTAGAGTAAGGGAAAAAGAAAGGTAATGAAGTGCCAATGCTAGTTGGGCCATGCAGACAGACAGACAGAAGCACAGAATGCAGCTGCAAATACACAAAGCATTTAAGCATAAATATTGTACCTTACCAATTGCAATTAGCAATAGTAGGTATATCACCAATCCGCAGACTGAGGTAATAGGCCTGTATCCGAATGAAAAGTTCCAACTTCAAAAGGTCTAAGCAATTTCACCGGAAACCAGGGAGAGGGCAAACTGCACATGGAATGACTGGGTTTTGTTGTAGGTATCACTTTATGTAGTATTGATAATATAATGAATGGATTCAAAACAACATTCACTAAGTGAGTAGTAGGGAATGAGTAATAAATCACAAAGGTACATAGGATAGGAATGGTATATGTCTCTATCCAGCAGACAGTTTATGCCAATTTGGAATGTTATCAAACACAATATTGGAGGAGGACAAATCTTAGTTGCACGAAGCGGAAGCGGGAGCTGGAGCGGGAGCGGGGAAGCGTGGCCATGTAAAGGAGTCGTAATTTGGGAGCGCTTATATATTATTTTTATTGAAATATTTTTAATTTATCTATATAAACATTTTTTTAAAAAAAATTAATTAACATATATATGTTAGAAAATTTTTATTTTTATGTAATATTTAATTAATTAAATACAACATAAAAAATATTTTTTAAAAATGAATAACAAATAAAAGTAGTGGAGTGATATTTTTTAGAACTCTTGTCATTATTTTTGAATAAAATTTATTATATTTTATTTAATAAACAACATTTATGTTTTATTTAAATATACTTTTTATTTTTTTATCTTATATATTATTTTTATTGATAATACTTTTAATTTATATATAATTTTTAAATAATATATATAAAAATATTGTGAGATATAATTTTTTTTCTCCAATTAATATTTGAAATATATTATAACTATCATAAACTGTTATAAATTATATTTTATTTTGTGTTTTTACTTAGAATTAAAATCTATTTATTTTGTGGATATAAAAATTAATATTAACTTAATATATATATATAACCCATTACATTTATTTATATTTATAAAGGTAAAATAAATAAATAGAAAATATATTAGAATAATTATAAATACATTTAATATTTGAATAAAATATAAAATATAAAATAAAATAAAATAAACAAAAACAAGAGAGAAGAGAGAAGAGAGACTCAGACAGAGGCGAGACAGAGAGTGAAGAGGAGGAGGACGAGACGAGATCGAGGGAGAGAGGAGACGAGATCGATCGATCTAGAGAAGACAAGTCATGAGATCGAGATTGAGAGAAGAGGGAGGGACAGACCGATCGAGAGGAAGAGAAGACGACAGATCCGCGATCAGATTCGCGTTTCTCTATCATCAAACTCGCGATTCTTCTACGAATCTGAGTCAGAAGCGCAGAATCGCGCTTTTGAGGAAGAATCGTGAGCAAGTTGAACGATTCCTGCTACTAAGGGACAAATTAAAATTTCAGGACTGTGCAATAGTAGTTGTACAAGGAATTTTGCAATAGTAGTTGTACAAGGAATTCTTTCAGAAGAAAAAAGCAAGTCTAACAATCCGCAAAATCACAAACATGTCTCTAGTATCCTTATTAATAACTAAGTCACATTTAAAGTTTTTAACCACTGCCATCTGCAATCTAATGACTCGCGTTCTAATCTTTTCTTCAGGCTCATTAAGGCGTAGTAGGCTTATTGATATTAACAACCGACTAAATACAACCACAAATAAAAACAGATACTCATTTGTATTTCTTTGATTTTCTATTTCCTAAGAAGACTCAAGAAGATTTAGAATAGACCTCTGTTGCTGACAAGTTCTGCCCACAACCCACCAGCCCCAGCATGGTTAATTTCCTGCAAGATGGCATTTCAGAGAATTGTCACTTTCCACCATGAACTATATAAACAGCAAAATATCAAGTGGATCGGATATGGGTACCTATCAGGTCTATAAACTCATATGTTCTTTCATAACAAAATAATACAAAAATCTGACATAGACTTGTGATATGGATGGAAAACTCCCAATCCCTCATCAGATTGATATAGGGCATCAATGAAAGGCAAGAGAGCACATTTAAATGAAAAATACGGACAAAAGATTGATTGAGGGTTGTACTATATAGTAGTGAAAACAAGAAGCAATTTACAAAAAAATCACAGATTAGGAAATCAATAAAGGCAGTACTAACAACTATAACAAAAACGCATATGGAAAGCAGAAACCACGGACCCCTTGTTCAAATATCATCAGAGTGAGTGAACAATCTCACCTCAAAGAATATGCCAAATAGAAGTTTGGGTATCTTCCATCCAGATGCTTCGGAAGCATTTACAAACAGCCGTGCTGTCTCATTAGTATCAACCACAATTGCAGAACACTGATACAAGACACAAAACTGAATAAGGAAGCCCAGGATAACTCTACGGAAAGAACCCATTGCTTCCTTCAGCACATTCAATTTTCACAGCAGCCTATTAAATGATGGACAAATAAGCCAATTCAGATACATTCTAATCAAGGGGAGAACCACAAACAGCAATACCTTCCACTATAAGCAAATTCTTGAACTTACAATAATTATTTAGTTAATAAATATACATCATATTTTGAGTGAAGTGATCCATTCAATGGAATATATGTAGGCGGGTCCGAGTCTTTCTCGGTTGAAGTACCAAAACTCTGCCTCCTTTATCTTCTTCCTACCATCTAGGGGAAAAGGATGAGATGGCATAGAGTGTCATTTCGGAACCATTCATAAGTGTGCCCTTTACTAAAAGGGGGAAAGGACTAAGACCTTCCTTGCGCGTAGACAAACCATCTTTAGTGAAGTCCCTTCTTCCCAACCTTTATCACTAAGTGAGAGTTATAACTTGAGTTCTTGAAAATGACTCTTGGGTTTATAACTCTCACATTAATGGTAGCGGAAAGGTACCACTATTCAATGAATGGTTCCAGCAACCCTCATCTATATAAGCAATGAAGTGTAAAGGAAGCCATCATCCAAAATTATTACACATATCGGGATACATAGAGAGAGAGGATTGAAGGTCCACTTAGAAAGGGTTAGTTGGATTGTAGAACTTGACACCATGAGCAATGTACAACCAGGAAAATTGGCTGGCATGTGATAATTTTACATTTGTGTATTAATCCATAATAATATGTTTATTATTCATAAATATTAATTTTCTATCATCCACACCAATATAATGTCAGCAATATTTAGATAGAATACTCTACAAGATGATTTTTGCCACAATCAACAATTATAAACATTTTTTACTTAACACAAAACACTATGTGTTTTTCTCCCAAGTGTTTATATCCAAGAACACAACATCAAAGCTTTTAAAGGCGAATGCACAACTCAAGGCATTTAACCCCTCATGAGGCAAGGCGTAAGCATTTTGAATTTTAAATTTTAATATTTAGTAAATAAATTAAATATTTTGAAATAGTAAAAAGTGAACATTCACTGCAAAGAAGGAAGCTTGCCTTCTTAGAAAGTGAAATTGACATTTTTAGTTTTAGTGATTGAGCTTTTTACTTGAGCATTAACTGTGTGTTTTTTTCTTGATTAGTCATTTATTTAATATTTTTTATAGAATATAGTTGCAAAAGGGGTCTTTCTTTTTTGTTTATTTATTTATTTATTTCTATGTTTAAATCATTTACTAGACTAAGTTTAGCAAGACCCTAAGACAATCTCTTCATATGCATACTACTCATATGCTTATATGCAAGGCGCACTTACGGTGGATGTCAAGAATTTGCATAGTATAGCCTAAAAATCAAAGTTTTGATGCATTTTACCTTAGGCGAGTCTCGGTAAAGCATTTTTAAAACTATGCGAAACATGATTAGCAACAACTATTTACAAAAAAAATAAATAACTAAAAAAATAAAACAAAAAAAAACGCAATTGCTAATCACACTTTTCCATAGTTTTGAGAATACATTTTGTCCATACACTATTGCTTGATTTTGAATATATAAATAAAAAATAAAAAAGTAGGCACTTTACACCAGCAGAGAGAATCAGACTTAAAAATTGCTGAAGGGTTTAGATTAAAACAAATTATTGAAAATTAAAATGATCGATTACAGTGAAAAAGAGAAAAGTCAAGTAACGACTACTGGTAACCCAATCACAGAGCATAGAAATCAACGATTAAAAAAATAACTGGTACAGACCCAGAATTACTATAAAACAAACTATGATCAATCAATCAACAACAACAACAACAACAATAGATTAGAGAGTAAAACCTAGATTACAGAGACAAGTTGAAATGGATACAAAGATCAAATTTTCCATCAAAACAACAATTACCTGAAGTGAAGAGTCGGAGAAACAGAGAGAGAGTGGGTGTGAAGAGTGACGGATTGGGTGGATATGTATATGCGCGTGAGTATATATATAGTATATATGAGGATAGAGGAGTGAGAGAGTGTGGGTGTTGCTTGGCGTAACAGGGGCAATGAAGACTTTATCGGGATAGAGTCTTTGCTTTCACGTAAGCAACAACAGCGACTACCCCAAACAGCTACAGAGAGAGGGTTGGGATTGGGTAAGTTTTCTGTTCTTCCAAAGTGTATTTTTGGTTAGTTTCTTTACAACGCAATGGGATGCGTGTGTAACTTAAATAAATTAAAATAAAATAAAATGTTTAATATATATCTGTTGTATTCTTAAGCACGAGTCTTTTTCATAATTTGTGTCATTTAAGTTCTAAGTCTTGTTTTATTTTATTTTATTTTATTTACTTTTTTTTTTTTTTATAAATAACTAGACACATGATATAAAGATAGACAAAGTTTCACAAAATTAATTTAGGTGTTTACATGTATAATAGTAGGGCTAGGCTTCTCTTCAGTTTGAGATCGGACTGAAGAGTGTTGTTGGGCTTGTGGGAGCCCATCATGGGTCTTATTTTGATAATTCGAACCGTTGAATATGTAGAATTTATCGAGTACCTTATTTTTGTAAAAAATCACGTTGATCTGATATTGATAACTACTTGATCGGATCATATTTTTGTCAACAGTAAATATAATTTTCAAAATAAATTATTAATAAAAATCTGATCCGATCAAGTAGCTATCGATATCAAATCAACATGATTTTTTACAAGAATAAAGTACTTGACGAGTTCTACACATCGAACTGTTCGAATTATCGAAACAGGACCTGTGATGGGTCCCATGGGACCAATAGCACTGTCCAATCCAAGGCGGCATGCAATTCAAATAAGTAAAAATAATATTATCAAAAAATAAGTAAGAATAAAAGAAAATAATAATGCAATTAATATTATAATGTGTACTTTACCTTGAGTGTTATGAGTCATCTGACCTTAAATCTATGGTTATGAGTTTCAAACTTTTCTTACTTTTTTGTTTAACTTTTTAAAAATATATATATATATATATATAAACACTGCCCTTGGCGTGAGGTTAGTGATGGTTTTAGTACACTAATTGAGGCCCTCACTTAATAATAGTATAGATACAGAAGACAGATGTTTGTTGCATTTTTTTTTTTTTTTTTGGTCAAGATTATAGAATGTTAGTTAATTGTTATTAAAGTTAGATGCAAAGATTATAGAATGTTAGTTAATTGTTAGTAAAGTTAGATTACAACTTAAAAGGTTCGTCATTACTACATCAATTTGAATCCTAGGTCTTCTACTCACCACACTCTAACCGCTAGGTCAAAGCCCAAGGTCTAGTTTGTTGCATTTATTAGAGGTGATTTTGGGTGGATTGTTCAGTAATTTTAGGTTATGTTTGCTAAGTATTTAAAAAATAGTTAAAGAGTTAAAAAATTATACCAAAAAATCAAATATTTTTTCTTATTTTTTTTTATATTTTTTGTACTTTTTTTTCCAGACAAGGACTTGTAGACGTCCCCGAACGTCCCGGGAGAAATCCCGTTTTGTTCATTGGGCTCACTACAGTTCGGACTAAAATGTCACGGTTCTTAATCTGATCTCACAATGTGCGATGTGAGATTGATAAATCACCAAAGAGTCCAAATCCAGCAAATCGTTTTGGAAAATTGATTTTTAAGAAAGAAGTGTCAAACATGGACTGCTTTGCCGATACAGAGTCGCCACCTAAATATTTTATTTTGGGGGAATTTAGGAAACCCTGACTCGTGCCTAAGGCCACGTGTCCGTCATCACCAAAGTTGCCTCGGCTCGGGAATTTTGGTACGATTGGGGAAGGTCATCTATGAGCACCCCAGCTCGCCTGATCCGAAGATCGGCCTGTACTAAACATGATATCTTGTTTTTGAGAACGCATGCGTTCTTATTCCGGTTAATTAGCTAGAATTACTATGTGATGCGCACAACACGCAAGTACAGACTAGATTGCCTAATTTGGAATAAAGCATCGCATATCCGTTTGTTTAAAGACGGTTTGAAGCTTTGCTACTCGCAAGTAGACTAAAACACGGATTTCGACGAATTATTCCAATTCAAGCAATCCAACCTTCACCCACAGGCATTCAGACAGTTATATCACATAAGCAATTAGCCTCATGGCAAGCATGCTGTCATGTTAGCACTCACATACATGCAAGATGCTAAAGCATAAACACTTACAGTGTACTCCGAGCCAAAACAAGAAACTAGTTAGTAATCATGCATGATCATAGTTCATGTTAAGATGGTTAATGCAACGCATGCAAAATGCAGCTAAAATAGGATCAGCTACCCTAAGAATGGTATATGAGATGTGACAATTCAATACATGTATTCAACTTGGAATTGAAATACAATGCAGTTAGCATGATGCGCCGAGCCCGGTTCATGCAATACAGATGAATGATGCAAACATGCGAGCATAAGTATGCTAATTGAAAAATGCCCTAAACTAACCATCAAAAGTTAGTAAATAAAAGGAAGAAAGACGTGGGGTTGGAAGACATTCACACACGCACGCACACTTATTACAAATTCGCCCTCTCGACGGAGGGCCCGAATAAATAATATAAATTAACTAATTAACTAACTAACAAGCTAATTAATTATTACAAAAGACTTAACTAATTAAACAAATTAACTAAGCTATGAAAAGCAGTAAAACAGCCTCGAGAAGAGGGACGAATGCATGTTCGATCGGCTTCGCTCGGAAATCCATTGCCATGGCTCATGTTGCCTCTGTTTGCACTGTTTTGCACCTCTGAAAATTGTGAAAATCCTTGGGATACTTCTGAACCACCTTGGGGACATGCTGAGAGGCCATCGGCCAAGAAATGGGACCACCGGCCAAGTGAAACAGGTCATCGACCAAAAATGGGGCTCTTGGCCAAACATTTGTAGCCGACCGGCACTCTAGATGGCCGACTGGCCATACTTTCCTGTAAAATGTTGTTTTGCTGCAGTAGAGGACAAATAGGGCATGGCAATGCATTTTCAAGACAATGTGTGCACAATCACCCTCCTTATCATGTTTAAGACTCAAAAGAGTATGGTTCTCAACCCTCGGGCCACCAATCACGCATTTCGATGCATGATGGCCAAAGGTGTCAAATGTGCATTTAATATCAAATGAAATGCACACAATACAAAAAGGGCCCCTAACCTCTATCATGGTTGATCAAGAGACAATGGATGTAAACATGCAAGCAAAACTAATGCAACGTGAGCATGTTAATGGCAATGCCATGTAAGGCTAATAGTAACAAGCATGCCAAATGCAATGGAACCTAAACAAGTATGCAAACATGCGAGGTATGTGACAACATTCAAGCATGTAACAACATGTGAGGCCAACATGTAACATGTTAGGCAACTTAACATGAGGTGCATGCCAAATGCAATACCACTTAAACAAGCAACAACATGTTAATAAGCCAAGTATGTAACAACATGCAAGGCAAGCATGCAACAACATGTAAACGATGAACTTAAACCAATATGGGCAGCTCGCAAATAGGCCCAAATCAGTGGCCAAACTTGATGAAAACGAGGCAATGACACACACACAACAATTCACAATGCAAGGGATCAAAGCCTAAGGTACAAGATACAGCTCTACAAAAGCATTGAAAGGATGAAATATGGCATACAATGGCACAAGTTCCAGCTCTGAAATAACATGCAACATGGTCCCGAATGACGCAAACAACTCACACAATGCATATTGGGAGGCTCAAATACCGAAACTAGTGAAGCACATTACACTAGAGGTATGCAAAGCGATGCTCGAATGACCAAACCAACCCCAAACAGTCCCTATGCAGGCCCAAAACAGTAGCAACATGGACTAAGATGACGATTTGAAAGGTACAAAAATGAAGCTCATGCAATGGTCCATAAATGAGGCATACAAGCATAACTCTCAAACGCATTTAAAGAGTGATAAACATGGGAATATGGAAACCTTATATGCTCTGAAATATCATGCTCAATGATACCAAAACATAGAAACACCTCAAGTTAAGCATGCAATGGGGTTTTAAAACTCAAGGCTAGGCAAGGGTATTACACTACAACCATGCATTGCAAGCATCATTCGACCAAGAGGCCTCAAAACAGAGCTAAGGCAGCCCAAAATATGAACAAAATCAGTTTAGATCATGGCCAAAATATGCTAGAATAGAGGACCAAAACAACATGCATTGTAAGCTAGTGAACATGAGTTACACTACAAGCATATGAAGCATGTGAGGGACTACCAAACCAGCCAAAAATAGAGTCATGGCATGCCAAATGATGGCCAAAAATTCACTGAAACATGACCAATACATGCAAGAATGACATGCTCCTTTGATAAGCCATAAAAGGATTACTCTACACATGCAAGAAACAAACAAAAGGGAACCAAACCAGCCCTAGAAAGAGTCTAGGCTGGTCCTAAAAGTCACCAAAAAGGGCCTGAACCCAGCTTTGAAAACATGCAAATGTATGCCCCTTTGATAGGTCAAAAATACTAGTAAATAAGACAACAAGAGAGAGGGTCACCCCTCTCTGATTTTGGCCCTCAAAATCACATTCTCACCACTGAAAATCTACTGGATTTCAGTGGTAGGAAGGCTAAGAAAAGACTAGCTCGAAGGCCTTATGGCATGGCACAAAACAAGGCCAAAACAAGTATGCAAGAGGGTAGATGACCCTCAACAACAAAATGTTCTTAAACAAACATGAAAAGGACCTTAAAATAAGACTTTTTTCAGTTGACAACAAAGCTTAAATATGTATGCAAATGAGGCTAAGAGAAGGATCAAAATAATGCTAAAAAGTGGAAAAAAGGGGTTACCCTTATAGCTCAGCAAAACCAGTAGCTTCTCTAGCCCAAAACCAACTCTTCAACCTTTGAAAATACCCTCCAAGGACCTTAGATGAATGGTGGAGGTGTGTGGCTATGAGGTGTAGTGTAATAGGCCAAGAACAAGACCCTTTTAAACCCAAATATAGAGATATAAAGAGAGATATATCTTGGAGTCTTAGATAATTTTTTTCAACCTCTCTAAAGGAGAGGGAGACCCTCTCTTATAGAGAAACAAGAAGGTTCAAGCTTCTTGGAGAAGCTAGAGCAAAGGTTCAAGCTTCCTCA